TAGAGCAGCGATTAGAGAGACATCTGCCATTGTATACCCATTCAGAAAAGAGCTAAACTTGCATATTCATATGCAATGAAGACAAAAATAAATATTTGCAAAGGTAAACTATACATTTAGATTATAAATATAATTGAGTTGATTTCCTTTAATGAGTGTTCTCTATTTTACAATATTTGGGATTATTTTTTATTTATAAATATAGAATCTTTCATCAATACATGTCTAGGAACGGACAAATTATTCCCTGAAAAAGCATTTATTCACTAAGGTTCCTGATTTCAGGCCTTTGGTGTACTGGGTTTTATATCTACTTGTTTGCAATTTGCACTTTTTCTGCTTCAATCCATCAGTTATATGTGAAACTCTAACTTCATTACTCTGTATGCATGATACATTATTAGGAACAAAAATCATGTGAACTTTTTCCACCTCACTGGAAGGCAATACTTAGATTAACACATTATAGCTGAGAAAGATCATCTTGTTTACAGATTATAGCTGAGAAAGATCATCTTGTTTACAGATTTTTTCTATGCAAGCCTGGACATTGTGCATCAGGAGGTACTTACATACCTTTTCATAATGAATGTCTTTATACAGATATATATATATAGAAGTGACAGCCACAGAAATACTATCAAAGTGAAAAGCAATTAGAAGTTTTAGCAAGCTCTTATTACTACTGTTTTAAGGGAGTACCCTTGTCCTCTGAACTTAGAGCAACATGAGCTGGTAATCTTGCAATAAATTGCAAATCTCATGCTCCATCATTAGCACAAAATGATCTGCTAGTTGCAACTTAATGTTGCACAGAAAAAGACAAGGTGAAGAATTTGGTTTTCTCTAATAGCTGGAAAGAATTAGAGTACAGTTAAAGTCTCTTTCCCAAAGTGAGCCCTTGCCAAAACAAACAAACAAACAAACAAACAAACAAAAAAAAAAAAAAAGAAAAAGAAAAAACCCAGAACCTAAAAGAGGTGAGCATGACACTTATTTTGTCATGGAAGAGAGGCTCTTTTTGCACAATTCTGATCAGGCTTAGCACATGTAAGGACAAAGAACAATGCTAATACTGCCAGAAAATCAATACTCTTACAGGCTATGGCAATTAGCTACAAACCAATTTAAATCCCATTTCCTTTTCACCTTCTTGTCGTGTTGAAATACTTCCAGCATTTCCATCTGGAGCAAATGTTACTATTATTTCTAAACACAGAAACTGAAGCAAGTCTGAATACATAGGTGGATCTATGTCAACTTCTCACCGGTCCTTAGTAGGTATCCACAAGATTTCATTACCAAAAAGAAGGCTAGAATATCCCACTGAGTTCTACAGTGACAAGTTAATTTCTAAAACTTGTGGAGGTGAATTTCATTTAAATTACAAACATGTACATGTACTAGGTAGAACAAAACTTGTCCCATAATACTTAGAAACCCTATTCATAAAGCAAGGAAATCAGTGTGCTGGGTGCAATGCAAATGCACACAATGTGTGCCCCTCTAGCTGGTGACCTAAATGTAGGTAAGCACAAAAGACACACAGAAATGCAATTATGAAGAGTTAGAAACCACAGATAAAAATATTTATCTGAAGTCTAAACAACCCTGAACTACTTAGGAAGGACCTGAAATCAAAGCAAATCCTTACAGTTTCACAGTTGATCCCTTCGCTTTTGTTCTATCTGTAAATTGATGATCTAATGTGATTTAAATTTGCACTCTTTAATGCTTACTATTAGAACAGCTATTTCAGAACTCTTCTACTTTTAATTTTTTCTGGACAACAGAAATCTTTGTTGCACCGGAAAACTAGAGGCATGTGTTTATACCCCTTTTCAGCATTACTCATAAGAAATAAGAGTGTTAATGCTTAGGTCTAACACTGTTACTGAGGGTGACACAGCAATAGTTTTCCTACTCTGATACATATCTCTGAGTTAAAATTTCTGAAGGAAAGCTGACTAATCTTGCACCTAAAACTATAAATAATGTGTACAGCAACACTTGGTTGCTAACATAATAAATAAACAATAGCACTCATTGAAAGCATAATTGAACCTTCATTTAGAAGGACACTTTTACAATGCTGAGGAAAGATGTTGACACTCCGTTTCCACTTCAGAACTCATTAAATGGGCAACTCAAAGTCTCTCAGAGCAGGCTAGGAGTTAAAATTTCACTTGTGTAATTATTCTGAAGAAATATGTAAGTCTGCCATCTGGAAGTCTATTAGACATTACAAAGTCACTGTGTGCATGCCTCAGCAGATGCAGCTTTTGTTCAGAGTTTTGAGGGCTGTTAATTTAATTAGTTTTGTATTTTCATACTCCCACCTTCCTTTCAACAGTAGTTCTGCAAAGGAAGCATCAGAACAGCTTTAAAGGAATGGAAAGGTAAAAGCCAAATTCAGATTTTAAGGACATGGAAACAAATAAAGTTCATATGGACTTCAAATGGAGATTGATCTATTCATTAGCAGGCCTAAACATTATTGCCAGCGGCTCTTTAGACCAAAACAGAAAACTGTGTTCAGTGGATCCTTTCCTACAATAGCTTTCCTAATTTAGGACGGCAATAGGATTCAACCATTCTATTTTATTTTTTTATTAAAACCACTCAACAACAATGATCTGGAGAATGCAAAAGGTCTCTTATTTTTTACTGATATCTTTTATGTAATGGGAGACCAGACAAATATTTTATTTTTTCATTTTTCAGGGCTTTTTCTGCTATAGTAAGGTAATAGTAAGCTATGTAGTAAATCTTACACAGTAAGAGTAAGCTACATATCTCTGAGCAAAAAAAAAGTTTGTCAGTTTTAAAAACTAAGATCATTACCCATCTAGAAATAAGGACTAGCCCTTTACAGTTCCTTCTAGCATTTTACATTTCTTATACTTGCAAACCAAATAATGTGATGTTTCTACCAAATAATACGTAATAATGCAGTATTGAAAGTATCTGCTATGAAAGTAGTTATATCTGCCCATATACACATTTGTTTCTTTCTAACTTTTAATCCTGTAAACTGTACTCCATGAGCAGATTCCTGTCAGGACAGGGTGCTAATAACTGTACAAATCTCCAAGCAGTACTGCAGCACTATAAAACCAAGTTGTTTATCAGACTGTAAGCCTATGCCAAAACATCATCCTGCAATATTTGACAATGCTCAGAATTTCTCTCAACTGAAAATCCAGACAAGGCACAAAAGCTGGCAATGAACCCAAACCCATGGTGTTTGCACAACCCAGGAAGCTCAGACCTTGGGAGTCCAGAACTATTTGAGACACCATGAGGTTCACTCATACAGCTAACAGCAGGAACACAGGAAGAGAGACAATTTCTAGACAACCATGCGCTTTCAAAATCAACAGCAAATATCCAACACTTTATGAGTAAACTGAATACAAAAACTAAGCAAGAGAACAGCTCAGGGATAACAAAGAGCGACTTAAAAGCCTAGAAGCTTTAGGAAATGAGTATTAACACACCCATTAGTACAATATTTCTGTGACTGTTACAGTTTAACTAACCTGAATGATTTACATTGGAACAGCTAATTAGGCTGCCACAGATACCCAGCTGCCCTGCTGCATGGATACCTGAGCTTCCTAACAGTTTCTGAAAGCAGAGGAGTTTAGAGCCCAGTATTGATTTCAGGTCACCTGCAAACATGACTGTAAACTGCAGCTGCCCAGGAGGCACTCACTAAGCAGCCCAACATCGTCTGCAGCAGGAACAGACAGATATGGGCAATATCTTTATCAGACATCTCAAAATAATCATCCAAGTCCACAAACAGAAGGTTTTTGTGTACATAAGTTTCTAGTTCACATAACGTTATCTAAGGCAAAAAATACCAGAAAATAGGAATAATAGCTATAGCAAAAAAGAGATTCTTATAATCAATACTATAAAACAGGAAACTGTACTAAGAGAATTGCTGAAATGCTAAGGATATCCTGCCCAGCAAATACTTCTTGTTCATACTGGATTTCGTGATTTTAAGAAACTGAGGAACAAAATTACCAATCTTGGTATTTTTGATTGGGTTTGTGTTTTGTTGGGTTTTGGATGACATATTTTTAATTACAAACACAATCAATTTCCTACCTACATATCAATTAGCAATTTTTAGTGGGAGGTGTTTTGACAGCTCTGTGGAAAGACACCACTATCCTTATACTCATAAGGAAACTAGTACTCTCCCTAAAAGGTTTCTGAATTTTGAGGATTATGTAAGACAACCTGTAGGAAGACAGTAAAAACAGTACAAAACTTCTAATCAGATGAGGGATCAAAGAGACAAAAAAATTCTGATAGGATTAGTCAAATATCACACTGAGACTAGGAATTCAAATACCTAGAGAGAAAATGATGATATGTAATGGCAGAAATACAGAAGAGCATAGACAATTTACAGCAAGAAAAGTATTTATTCCAAAATCAAATATTTCCTGAAAATTACAATGCACAAAATTTAAATTCCTGGGTCATGTTTTAATCTAATATTTATGTATTTATATAAAATAGGTACATATGACAGGCTCCCCTACTTCTGCAGCAAAATAAAACTAGCTTCAGAAGTCTCAGAAAGGATGGTGAAGTGCTGCTCAGCCCAGTGTGATTCTTGGAAAACAGAAAGAGAAGGAGGAAGTGGCAGAAGAAGCTACTCAGGGAAATCAAGGGGCTCAGCACAGCTCAGGATGTGATACTTGAGAGGGATCAGACTCCATAACAAAAGGCACAAAAGTTGTATCAACCACTTACTAAAATCACCAAAAATGAAAAAAGTATGGACTGCAAATAGGTTCTGCAAAGAAAAGAGCTCATCACCAAGTAACTCTGTATCTACAGGAACAAACTAGAAGCCAAATGTGGCTACTGAATAACACTAATTTATTTCTCCCACAGCTGTGATTTCAGCCTCAATGATTGCTCCAGATGCAATGATAAACATGTTCCAGATGCAATGATAAACGTGCACTTACTGAACAGTTTTTGTCAGAATTCCTTTTCCATTGCTTCTTGACTAATTTCTTTGCTGCAGTTGAGTGAAGAGTTGCATGTGTTTGTTTTCGGGGATTTAAAGCCAGAATGTTCTGTGGAAAAAGAACAAAAGACATTAAAATATAGATTCAAATTTCCATAAAGGTTCAAAGCCTCTTTACACACTTATTTACAGTGCTCGGTAAAACCAAATGCAATTATTCCACGTTATAGCCCAACTCCATACTAATTTGTTTAGATTGCATTGTCCACGCCACTTAGATGATGAATATTTAAAGACACTTCCAGGATTACTAGAAAACAGAATTATATTTAGTAGCTTTAATAACAGTTTCCATTCCTAGATATTTTTTATGTACAGCATATAGAAACACATAATTCTGGTTCATTGTATCATTCCAAGTAACATTTGTAAAGCAAAACAAGCAAAAATATTTTAAAATATCTGGATTATTTCTGAATGTTTCATCATTTCAGGATAAACTCCGATTTCCCCATCAAAACAATCTCCTTCTAAGCCTAGTGAGCTGATGAGTTAACTCATTCATCTTCAAATGCATTTATTTGCAAGGACACAAACAAATCTCAGGAATGTAGCCATACTTTTAAGTCATAGTGGTGGTCTGACAACACAGGCAGAATGAAGTTTGCAATGTCTTGCACTACCCTAATGTAACTCGACAAATTAAATCAAATTTTTGGAACCAAAACTCTTTTACAAATCAGGCAAGTAACAGATTTCTATAGCAAAAGCGACCTCGTTAACTTCAAGGGATGAGTGTGAAAGGCATCCAAGACACAGATCCAGGCTCAGGTCTGTGATGGAGAACAAAACCAGGCACATTGTTGCTTGTAACTTCTGGAATTAGTTTGCAAGTTTGCCTATAAAAAAGCCTTGGCTTTAGAACTACATGTCTCCACTACAGTGAGCAGAGCGTGTTTATTCTGTTACTATATGTCAAAGATGTGCGAGACTGACTTACAGAAACATGATGAGTGTGATGGGGTTATGAATATTATATTGTGACTCTTCCTAATTTTAAAAATCTGCTTCAGAGAGTGATAATGATGAAACAGCCATCTCTTGTGTTAAGATTTTATTGCGCTGATTACAGGGACTTCTTATTTTAAATATGAAGGAGTCACTTTCTATTCAACTACTTAATGCCTTACTCTGAAGGTAATGATTGGTAATCCAATTTTCCCTCAAACCAGAAACCTCACCTCTGCAAACAACAACATAGCCCAACACAGTCTGAAGCACAGAGACAAAAAGTGAGGTACAACATTCAAAAAACATACAGACTATTTAGCAGCCTACATGCTGCTGACTTTCAGTAAGAGTTACAGGTTGTTATTGGATGTGCCCCTGTAATTCCAGCAGAAAAGACTCTGCTCCAGTTGAGGGTGCTCCCCAGATGAGTACCCTCAGGCAAGATGTGGCAACCAAATGCATTCAGTGGTTATTTATGCCAATTTATTTTGCCCTTAATTAAAACAGAGCAGGGACATCCACATAAGGGATATCTCAGTGGATAGTTGATTTTCTCAGGATGATCAAACTCAACTGTCAGACCATTATCTGACTGTTGAGTGCCCAAATTACCCAAGCTGGGCAGTAGGTTCTGCATCACATAAAAACTTCAGCAAAATGCTGCCGACTCTTTTTTGTAATTGCTTAATGCTTGGCCATGAATATTATTTTAGCAAACTGAAATGAATTGCAAATTTCTAGCAATAAACTGTAACAGATGTACTCCACTGGGTACAGCACCAGTTGGTTTAAAACATGGAACAAATGGTGGGGCAAGCCAAGGATGGAAGAATCCCCATATGTTTGCTCCTATTGGAATTCTGCAGCAGGAGCATGGCTCCAAGAGCAACAGTTGCAGAAATCCAAAAGGACTACATAGCACAGCATGTCCCAGAATTAAATCTGAAATAAAACTGGCACAGAAAATACTAAATCACATATACAATATAAAAATTGCTTGTATTTCCACTACCTAAATAATATACTACCTGCTTAAATCTTGGAGTGCTGACCAAAGCAGCTGCTCTAGCTAGAGATCCCTGGTGTTTAAGAACAACTTTGAAGTTAACTGCTTAAATGGGAAAATAATGTAAATGCTCTTGGGTCAGCTGAACTGTCAGAAGTGAAATTAGTGAGGGTGTTTTCTTCCTATTCATTTCAGTTCCCTGGTTGGCTTTTCACAGCTTATGGCTAGTCAGACATTTAGTAAATTTAACAAATAAAGTCAGATGGGTCAGTCAGTCAGTAAGTGCAAAATTACTGAGAAGAAAGTTCTAGAATATGTATCACAAATAACAATGAATACATGCAACTAAACAAAAACAAGCCACTTGGATATGCAAGAAAGGAAACCTGAGACTTCCAGTCTCTCAAACACCCTTGGTCATCCAAGCAGGGGAAGAGTTCCTTGGTGAAGGGAATTATTTGGGCATCTGCAATCCTGTCTGAATCCCATGCTTATTCTGCCACATAAATTCTCATTCTTGACAGATGAGCTGTTGTTTGATCTCTCCAGATGTTGAAAGGCCAAGACTCAAGCTCCCCCATAGAGGATGCAGGTGCATAATGCATCCCTTTACAAAGTACTATGAACTCTGGATTTCACATGAGGATGTTATTTGTACAGTAATGCAGAACCTATGAATTTTATCTTTACAGTTTTACATAACTGGCTCCATTTATTTCATTAATAGTAGATATAAATCCATAATCATTAATGGCTGCAAATCAGAATAGAAGGATACTTTACTTCAGTAGAAATCCATTGAGGTACTCTGTTGATGAAGAAAGAGATGGGGCTATGGCTAAGGACGCAGAAGTGAACTGAGCCCATGTTGAGTTTGTTACTCTTGGTGCAGAAGCACAACACACACAGTCGAGTTAAAGCTGTAGCTCTGCACAGCACTGATGATTATGGGCACCACCAAAGTATTATATTTTCCTTTACTATTTCCATAGATTATTTTGAAGACTTCACTTCCATAAAAAAACCAAGGAGCCCATCTCTGTGGAATGGAACTCAAATATATTCTGCAGATGACTTGCTCAAATATCATTATGTTAAGGAATTCCTTTAATAATTACCCATGACAATTATTTCTTTCAGGTCTTTTAAAAGACAACAATTACTAAAAGCTACAAAATATAGAAGAATGATTCAATTTCAGAACACACCCCCTTCTAGAAAGGAATATATTTGTTATGTCTAATAGATATCGATTTAGGTTGCAAGTATCCTAAAATGCAATAAACTACTCATATGTAATGCACATTGAAAATGACTAGCATGCATAAGTCATAGCTACAGTTTTTAAATTTTGAGAATTTATTGATAGATGGTTATGTTGATCTGTGCCTATAGCAACATAGCTTCTGAGATTAAACTTACCATAAGCCATTCATTAGATGTTTATTGCTTAGCTTCTACTTTAAATGGCATGATTAAGAACTCTACACAAAAAATACTAGCTCTAATTTTCAATATCATCTATTAATGAAAAGGCTGTAAAAGTTTTAAAACAGCGTGTTATATCACAGTGAGTAATTTATCAGGAATTTGAATTAATATTACTCCAAGTAAGTGATTTCAAAGCAGTCATCCAGGATAGAATACACTCTCCAGTTAGGAGTCCTGTCTCTGATACAGCACTTTCAGGTAAATCAAGACAGGCTTGGCACATGCTCTGCAGTGATGCAACATAAATTTCTAAACCTATTTCATTTTGCTTTTAATTTCATTAAAAGCACTTTTTATTCTCATCTCCTAAAGCCACTCTTTTCCTGAAATCAGAAGAAGCTATTTCAATTAAATGTGACTCTTAATTAAGTGCATACTCTGCAAAATAAAATATAATGTTATGGAAGCACTTTGCTCATTGGGAACGCTCCAAAGCCAGTGGGGACTGGGGGGCATGCAGCAGAGAGGGGATGTTGTTAAGAAAAAAAGTAGGATTTAGAACACAGGTGGGACTGCAGTAACTTTAGGACAGTCATCAAAAAGCCCGGTGAGTCTAGCAGCGTGTTTGTAACTTATGTGACACTAATTCAAATTTTGAAAGCTTTTCTTTAAAGCACTGTGGTGTGAAATCTTTGGCTTTATATTTTTCTCCCCAAAAGGACACTTTAGCAAGGTGTCCTGCTTACGTGGACTCCATCTCTGATTCAAAACAATAAACTTGGAAAAATTCAATGGTTAAAGCTCACTCTTCTTCTGGAGAGCCTTCTACTGAAACCAATGAGTTGCACCAGGAGTAGTTAGTGCTTGGTAATCCTCATATTCATTACTGTTCATTCAAAGCCAGAATAAGGATCAAAAAACCTATCTTCAGGCTCTGTCACAGGTTGTGATATTAAAACTCCGTAAAATTCTTAAAAAGACTAAGTAAATATTTGCTTGTTTCAAGGATTCTGTGGACTTCCTGTAGCTCATTGAGAAAGTTTCCTATGAACAGCCCCAAAACACCTCCTGAAGTTCACCACAGATCAACAGGTGTGCTGTCACAGTGAAGATGTGGAAAATGCAACAGTTCACATGCAGACTGTGATTGGGCATAAAACAAGGTCCCATGTGTCAGTCTCCTTGTTTTAGCACCCAGCTCATTTCCCTAGCCCAGCCCCTGCAATACACAGGCTACATCCTGATTTAATCCTGTTGCTTCACAGAGCCCCCTCATCTGAACACTTTTATATACATCAATTAAAATTCAGAAGTAAGCCAGGCATGCTAGGGAATGCATGTGGAGAGCAATTTAACCCACCCCATTCCATTAATCTACCCAATTTCCTTAAAAAGAGTTGTAATCTCCCTCACAGCAAGTAACATTAAATGTATTGCAAGATACATATGCTCACCAAGTGAACATAATGAGAACATATTTATTTTTTCTAAGAGTAATGAGTATACTAAACAATTAATTTCAAAGCTATGCAAGTGTTACTTCACTGACAGAAACAAATACCTGGGGCTTTTACACTAATATTTTCTAGTATATCTGAATATTAAACTAATGGTATAATTGCTCTTCAATCAAAGGCTAAAGAACTCAAATGTATTTGTTT